TGAATGAGGAAAAGGCACTGGCAGAAGGGCGCTATCTCCCCAAGTCCTGCCCCTGCCTGTGGCCACCACATTGGGGCTGCTGTGTCTTCCTGTGTGTTTCTGCTTGCGGGTATGAAAGCTGAGTCAAACTGGCCTGCAGAAAGAAGGTGGGTGACTGAGTCTTGTGAAGATCTTGTTTTATTGTGGGCTCCTCCTTGCCAGGCCTCAAGAGTACAAGGTGTGTAGAGACAGGATCTTTGATAGCTAGAGGACCTACCTCTTGGTCTGCCTGGCATTGCCGGGTGGAGTGTGAGCTATGCGTCTGTCACCCGCTCCATCTAGGGGCTTCTCCAGGGCCACTGCAGTTTCCCCAGAAGCCCCTCCCCCCGCCCCCCAAGTGCAGATCCTACAGTTGACAGAAGAGGCTGGGTGGGCAGATGGTTGGGGAGGACCTTAATCCCCAGGATCAGCCATCTCTCTGGGAGGGAGCACCTTAGTGACTCCCACGCACTGAGTGAGTGCCTTCCCAGGGACTGCATTTTATATCCGTTTTCCAGGTAATGCTCCAGTGGATAAGATGGATAGACAGGGAAAACAAGGCACAAGAGCCTCTAGCAGCCTGGCTGAACATTTCCGTAGTGAGACCGGGCCCCCTACAAGTCCTGACACCCATGCTCAGTCGGAGGAGAGCAGTGGATCACCATGGCTACTCCCTCCCTCATCCCAGCTCACACACATGAGGGGCCCTGGATGCACCTCTGTCTCAGTCTCCTGGTGCTTGTCCAGCTCCAGAACTCTTGATAACCATGATCAGACACTTAAGTGACTGGCGCTTGGGTAGAAGGAAGCTAGACTTGTGAAAGCCTGGACTTGTTTTTAGACTGTGGATGGAGGTGGAGAGGGGAGTTTCTTTTCGTTGGTTCTCTTTAAGTGTCGCTTGTCAGAGGGTGAGCCTAGGTCCCCAGAGGCACAGTCTGGGAGACATGCTCCGTGGTGGGGGCTGGAGGAAGCCAGGGACTCATCCTCTGGTTCCTCTCCGTGCTACAAGGGGCTCAGGCTCACCCTCTGCCCTGGAATGTGGGCAGACCGGCCCTGGGCCCCCTCCCTCCCTGGGCAGTGAATGAAAAGGCCTGTTCTTAACTCCCTCGGTGCTGCAGACCAGCGCTCCCACCCAGGCCGCCTACCCTGGCCTAGGGGCATCTCTCAGCAAGGTGGGTGGGGTGAGGGCACCCAACCTTCAACCCCACCCCCCAGTCTCCTTGCCCAGAGCCGCTGACTGCTAGGCACCAGGCAGAGAGAATGGGGTTGCACACCCCTCTCCCAGTTTGCAAGAGGATTCATCCTGTGGGTCTTGGGAGCCCCAAAGTCGGTAAATCTTGGTTGCAGCTTCAGATGATTGTATACTTGGGGCAGGGACCGGAGGCTAAGCACCCAGACACCTAGTGCCGCTCCTCCTAGCCTGCCCAGTTTCTCGTGTTCGGCCAAGCTTTCTCGGCATTGAGATTTCCTCTGTGCGCTCACAGCCGGGGGCTCCTGGTGTCCCCCCTTGAAAATTCCATGATTGCGATGGTGATTGCTCCGGGTTACCTTCGGTGACTCTCGTGCTGGGGCTCGGTAGGCCGGTAGCGCCCTCTGGCGGGAGGCAGCGGCCGCGTCCGGTCCCGGCCCGCGCCTGGTGGCCTGTGGCTTTGCCCCCCCACCGCTCAGCTGGACTGATTTGCACCCAGGCTGTGCTGGTCCTCCCAACTCCCCCCGCCCAACTCGCCCTGCAGAAGACACACAAGTTGGATCTCGGCTTTCCTTCAGTGGGTGGAAGCCAAGTGCCAGGGCTTGTGTCAACTGATTCAGATCTGCACAGAGGAGAAAGGGGAAGGGACCCCTCCACCCTCCCACCCACCCCGTCCCCAGAAACCTTACTTCTCCAGTGTGAAGAAGTAGGCTGCCTAGTAGCTGGGAGTCTCAGATCTGAAGCCAGGAAGCTGGTTGTGGAGCTGTGGGGAAGTCTGAGCCCTGAGTGAAGGAGACCCAGCTGCTTCAGATAGGCTTCTGTGTGCCTGGGAGCACCCCCAGACATGCGGAGGGAAAGGGGTCCCAGTGGGACCATCTGAGCCCTCTGGGGTAGAGCAGGAGCATTCCCCAAACCCGCCTCAGGGTTTTCAGAGCGGCGGTGCTAGGGAGTAGCTGCGGTGAAGACAGAAACCTCCCCTCATCCTCTGCTGTGTTTGCCCAAGGAGGGGAGGAGTGTGCTGAGCTTGCAGGGAGACTTTGGTCTGTAACCCTGTACAGCTGGTGGGGGGATTGCAGCCTCCTGGGGGGGCGGGGAGAATAGAGGTGCAGCGCACTCCCCGGGGCCGCCTCCCTAGCGCTGGGTCTCCAGGCTTCTGGGGGATAGTGGCCCTGGGCCCTGTCCAGTCACCTGCGCCGCCCCCCCTCCCCCCACGGCCTTGCTGCGAACGGCTCCTCTCGTTTGGGAAGAAGTGGAAGGTGATGTGCCTTCCCCTGAAGTCCACACTTGTTTCCCTGAGGATGTCACTTTTTTGCGCGACTTTTCTTTTCATATCTTGCCCACATTCTACCAATAGAAGTCGTAGGAGGGGAGGCCAGTGCTTCCACATCCCTCCCGGGTCTTGGCAGGAAATCTTTTTCTGAATTTCACCAAGCAAATGAGATCTGATGTTTGCACTTTCCCATGTAACCCTCACACTAGTGCTGTGAAAAGCGAATCAGAAACCCCGAATTTCTGAGGAGACAGAGTGACTTGCTGTGTGGCCATGGACAGCACATGAGGGAGCGGGATTTGAACTCAGCTCTGGCTGGACTGCAGCACTGTGATTGTACCCCACCCCCACCCGCCCCCAGGACTGCTCCTTTAGACCTGCGGAGGAGGTCTGCCTTTGCATTACAAGTTGGGGGACCTGCCTGCTGGCGCAAGGGGTTAAAGTGCAGCACTATGAAGCTGCTGGTGCTGCCTCCGGGGAGCGAACCACACGCCCTGATTCTCCTGTCTCGCCCACGGCTCCCCTCCGCAGTGTACTTCAGTTGATCTTCCTGTTCTGCTCCCCACTCTGTTTCTGGTGAAATCTGAAATCCTTCACCCCCCTACATACACACCCCCCTCTGGCCTGTGCACCCCAGTTCTGTATGTATATATAAATAAATCTCACTAATGCCTATTGAAATCATAAAGCAATATCCAAAATCCCTAAACCTTCTTTGTCAGGTTGGAGTGAGGCGGTGAAGGCGTTTGATGGGGTGCTGTGGGGTCCTGCTTCAGAGGTTTGCTGGGGAAGGTTGTCTTCTGCTGAGGGCTTGGCGCCCCGTAGACCAGAGCCCCAGGTCCCAGCTCTGTCACGTGAGCTAGCTGCACAGTGTGGGGACCCGACTCTGGGTGCCAGTGTGGTGAGGGAGGTGGCAGAGGCGAAGCTCCCGAGGAGGCCTGTGCCGGCCATTCTGGCGCAGCCGGGGCAGCGCGTGTGGCCTCTTGGGGAGTGTGGGGTGTCCCAGCGGGCTCTGCCCAGGGACACGGACCCTGCCCCGTTGGATTGGGCCCAGAGGAGACAGGACACTGTTTGAAGCCAGGAAGTCAGGTGTGGCTGTGTAGAGGGTACTGGGATGGGCCTGGACAGCAGTTCCTTTTCCGCCGTTACCTAGCCGCACACTGACTCCCTCTACTTCCGGCTTGCTGGAGACAGGAAGCCAGACCTCTTCCAACCACCCGGAGAGGTGGGGGCCCAGGCACTGAGCTTCTTCAGAAGCCAGGAAACCTGAGCTGGCGGTGGCCCCAGATCCTGCACCTTGGAACCTGCTCCCCCTCTCACCTGCTGGGTAGGAGCCTGGGTAGGTGTGGCCGGCCTGGGAGGTAGGAGGTGAGAGCCAGCAGCTGGGAGAGGGTGTGGGCTCCCAGAGCAACACCCTGGGCCAGGGCCTTGCTTCCGTATTTCAGGCAGGGTGGGGTTGGGACTGGCCATGAGGAACAGTCAGACCCACAAACCTACGAGCTTGGACCCCAACATTCAGGAAGATGTAGTGTTTAAATTCGGTGTCACCTTGAGATCACAGTAGTCTCTTGCAGCCAGATTTTTGTAGTTTGGAGCTTTGAGGAATCCATCAGTCCTGTTAGCAATTTTGTCTGGAGCAAGACCTCACTCACTGTTTCCCCTTCTGTAAAGAGGAGCGCAGAATTCATGGGGCTGCAGGGAGGTTAGCCGAGACCATGTTTGCAGAGTGCCTGGCATGGTGCTGGTTGCCAGGAGGTGGTAATAAATGCAGCCGCTGCTTTTGAGTCTTATCCTGGGGCAGGGGAGTCAATACTTCCTGAACGGCAGTCACCACGGAGGCGAGTGTGAGCATGTTGTGAGTATGGCAGGAATGAGGGCGTGACTTCCAGGGCCCAGACCCTCTGGGTCCCCGTGCTATTGAGGGTCCCAGGTCGGGGAATAAGCTGGTGGGTGTCTGTCCCTGCCTCTCCAGCGCTATCGGTCTTGTCTGGGGACCAGGGAGATCCAGCCCACCACCCCACCCCCGGCCCCTTTTGGCTGCTCAGTGCCAGGGTAATGGAAATACACACTTGAGGGCCAATTCAGCTCCCTTGTTGCTGTTGAAAGCAGAATAGTGGGGCCCTGCAGCCTCTGGGCCAGGCTGTTTGCCAGGCTTCTGCAGAAACAGCCTACATGCTCGAGCAGTCTGTCCCACCCTCGGCCGAGGAGGTGGGAACAGGGCACCAGCCTTCTTCCAGGCCTCCAGCCTCCTTCCAGACCTCATGTCCCCGTGGGCCTTGCCTTGTAGCCTGGAACCCTGAGAGGGGCTTGGAGCATGGGGTTTTGCTTCTACCTGGAGAGGAAGGCAGGTGCCACCCCAGGGACCTCTTCAATCTGGAGTGTGGGACAGCCCAAGTTCTTGGAAGTGAAGTGGGGCCGGCACTGCCCGGGCCCCTCCCTGTGTGAGGTGGGGCCTCTCCCGCCTGCTCTCTGCCTGCCTTGCCCAGTGGAGTCAGAGTTCTAGGCAGGCAGTTCTGACTCCCAGCCAGTCAGCTGCACAGCCCTGTCGGGAGGGAGCGCCGAGCCAGGGGCCCGGCTCCCAGAGGTAGGAGAGCCCCACGGGCGACCCGAGAGCCGCGAGCCAGCACCTCCAGGCCTGGGCCTTGCAGGAGAGGTCAGCTGTGAGAGCTGGGGCTTAGCCAGGCTGGTGCGGGCCCTGTCTTCCTGTCCCGAGGCTGGTCATTTCTGCCCTGGGTGGGGCGGAGTCGTGGCCTTCTGGGCATAGGCAGGGCATGCACTGCAAACAGAGTTGCCAGGATCACTGGGTCTTACCTGTGTTGCGTCTTTTCTTTACAGACGCCCTGCTGGCGGACTTGGAATCCACCACCTCCCACATCTCCAAACGGCCAGTGTTCTTGGCGGAGGAGACCCCCTACTCCTACCCAACTGGAAACCACACCTACCAGGAGATTGCTGTGCCACCCCCCGTCCCTCCACCACCATCCAGCGAGGCCCTCAACGGCTCGGTGCTTGACCCCTTAGATCAGTGGCAGCCTGACGCCTCCCCATTCACCCACCAGCAGGTAAGGAGGGGGCCAGAGCTGGGAAGCCACCCCGTGGTAAAAGAAACTTGCCTGGGGCAGAGAGAGCAGGGGTCAGGGCCACAGTGGGAGAGGCAGGAGCTGTCCGGCTCTGTCCCGCCAGATGCCGCGTGAGGGCCGGTGACCAATGTTTAATCACCTGTCTCGGATGAGCTCGTGGAAATTCCCTGGTGAGGCTGGCTGTGAGCAGGCGCCTCCTGGGGGTGACGGGGCTGTTCCTTGCCCCCCCGGGGGGCCTCTGAGCATTCTCCTCCCCTCGGCCTCAGTCCCTGTCACCCGTCTCCGGCTCCAGTGCCAAAGCTCCCTGTGCCTCCACCCCACAGGACGGCGGGGGTGCTCCGCGTCCCCGCGCCGCTGAGGAGGAGCACGTCTACAGGTACCACCCTCCCCTGGTGCCCAGGTGGGGCTGGGGGCAGCAGACCGACAGCCGGCCCTGGGGGACCTGCCCCAGGGCTCACTGGTTATACCACAGAGGCCTGAGGTTCTGGCCAGCTGGTCATGCATCTCACTTCTCTCGCCCACTGGCCTTAATCACGGCCAGTCCGTGCAGCGGATGGGCTGGGCTGTCAGCGGGCTGTCACGTCACCTGCGGAGTTGAGGAACTGAGGCAAGACTTCCTTCCACCCCTCTTCTTGCCACATCCCTTGCCCACTCTCCGCCCTCGGCTGGGGGAGACCTCGTATCTCCGCTGCTTCTCCTTCAGGACTTGGCCCACCAAGTCAGTGTTTTTCACTGCTGTTTTCCCTCTGCCTCTGGAAGCTTCCCCAACAAGCAGAAGTCAGCTGAGCCCTCACCCACTGTGATGAGCACCTTCCTGGGCAGCAACCTCTCGGAACTCGACCGACTGCTGCTGGAACTGAATGCCGTGCAGCAGAACCCCCCAGGCTTCCCTGCAGGTAGGGCGGGTCCTGGTGGGGGGCCTGCGGGACCCCAGGACCCCCCAGGCTTCCCTGCAGGTAGGGCGGGTCCTGGTGGGGGGCCTACGGGACCCCAGGACCCCCCAGGCTTCCCTGCAGGTAGGGCGGGTCCTGGTGGGGGGCCTGCGGGACCCCAGGCTTCCCTGCCGGTAGGACGGGTCCTCGTGCGGGGCCTGCGGGACCCCAGGCTTCCAGGGTCGGCGCTGAGCAGCCTCTCTCTTCCTTTCTCCAAGACGAAGCCAACTCTGCTCCCCCGCTGCCTGGGGCTCTGAGCCCCCACTATGGCACCACAGAGAACAGCAGCCTCCTGGGGAGCAAAGCTGGGCCCCCGACGAAGGAGAAGCCCAAGCGGAATGGGGGCCGGGGCCTGGAGGACGTGCGGCCCAGCGTGGAGAGCCTGTTGGATGAGTTGGAGAGCTCCGTGCCCAGCCCTGTGTGAGTGTCCACCGAGCCCCCAGGCCTGTCTGTGTCTGCCCCCCCGCCCTGGCGCCATCTGTCCCCCCATTGCTGGCCGGGGCCTAGACCTAGACCGGGCAGTGGGGCGTGGGGTGAGTCTGGACACACCCTGCCTGCAGCCAGCCTCCAGCTTTCATCCTCCCGCCCCGGCGGGCGCTGTGTCAGGGCTGCACGGGGTGGGCCCTCCCCGGGGTGCTGGGACCCGCTCTCACGCCTTGGTGTACCCACCCGAAGTGGCCTGAAGGGTCGTGTGGCTGTGAGGAGAAGGGCTTTGTCTCGATAGGGGCGAGCCCCAGGTCTGCGGCGGCTCGCTGGGCTGGGCGTGGGTGCCGAGCCGCAGCACAGGCGCCTGCTCAGCGCGATGAGTGTCAGCTCCGGGCAGAGCTGCCGTCCTGAGGAATCGGGCTGGGGGCTGGAGGTGTCTTCCAGGGGAAGGTGCTGTTGGCACGGCCTTCTCCTCTCCCAGGTCAGCTCGCCTCAGAGCCCTGCCCCCTTCCATGGCGGCCCCCAGGAGAGAGCGGGAGCGGGTCTGGGTGCGGGGAGCCCAGCGTGAGGCGGGCACAGCCACTGGGGGGGCAGGTGCTGGGTGCGGGGGCCCCGCTGACGCCGTGTCCGCCCGCAGCCCCGCCGTCACTGTGACCCAGGGCGAGGTGAGCAGCCCGCAGCGGGTCTCCTCCAGCCAGCAGCACACACGCATCTCCGCCTCCTCCGCCACCAGGGAGCTGGACGAGCTGATGGCCTCACTGTCGGATTTCAAGGTGCCCTGCGGCCCCACCCTTTGCCCTGCCTGCCCCGAAAGGGGGCCCGTCCTTCTCATCTTGTACCTCGGTGTGGTAGCTGTGACTCAGCCCTGCAGTGTCGGGGTGCCGAGACCGAGTCAGGCCCCCGCAGCGTGCTGGCCGGGGTACCGGACCCGGGCTGGGGCGTGCGGGTCCTGAGTGTCGGCTGCCCGTGCAGGCAGAGAAGCGCTCAGGAGGGACATTCCTTCCTCCCTGGCTCCCGGCTCCCGGCTCCCGCTCTCAGGAACCTGGACAAAAGGCCCTGTGTTGAAGGCCGCCCGAGGGGGAGGGCTTCTCTGCTAGGCCATGAGGGACTTGGCGCCTGTGTCTGAGCGGTCATTTGCCCGGAGCCCCGTCTCCCACACGGGCTGTCCTCAACACGTCTTCTTTCTTTCTCTGTGCCTCTGGCCCTGAGTCCCTTGCCAACCTCCCACTCTCCCTCCACAGGCCGTTCATTTCCTCCAGGTTCTGGCTCTGGGACACCGGGTTAATCTAGTCCTGCAAGTACCTCCCTTGCGGCCTGCCCCCACTTCCGGGCCTTCCTGGGCTGCCAGAACCATGTTTTATTTAGAGGATGTAGTGCTGTGGTGGACTGATACTGACAGAACGCTCCAGCAGTCACTGACTTTTCCCTTCCGTGTGGGGAGCCCCTGAGACCCTCTGAGGGAATAGGAGAAGGGGGGCCAGCTGTCCATGTACTCGGGGCCCTGAAGGGGCCTCCTGGCTTCCTCTTAGCTGGTGTCTCACCGTGGAGCTCGGAGTATGTGAGTGGGGCCAGGGGGCGGCCGAGCACGGCTTGCGGCCCAGGCACGCTGCAGTCAGCGCCCCACGCAGGTCAGGGCACTCGGCCGTCGGCCCGTCGGCCTGAGGAAGCCCTGCCCCCGCCCCGTGGCCACCCATCGGCTGCTGCTTTCTTGACGTTCTGCAGGAAGCCACGCAGGTTTCAGCTGCACCCAGCAAGATCCTGGGTGGACATAGAAAGTGTCCTGAAGAGACAGAGCCCAGATTGGAGTTGAGCCTGGGTGGGGGGGGTCAGCTGTGTGAGGCTGATTTTCCCTGGACGGTGCTGGGCTGCCTGTCTCCCCTGTCCACCTCCCACCCCGCCCTTCTCTGCCTCTGACAGGATGGCCTTACAGGCAGACTTTTGCTGCCTGGGGCCTAAGGGCCCAAGGATGCGGAGCTCAGGAAAGTCTTTATTTTGGGGGAGTAGTTCCCTTGCTTCAGCTTTGCGGCCACCGCAGTCAGTGTAGACGGTGCCTCAGCGCTCCAAGGCCGAGCCCGCCTCTGCAGGGACTGTCCTCACCTCTCCCATCTCTCTCTCCCCTCTGCCTTTTGTCTTTCTCCTCTTCTAGACCAGCTCCTCTGCGGTGGCCTTAAGCTCCCTGGGGCTGCTGCCCAGCTCAGCACCAAGCCCACACCACGCACCTCCTTCTCCTCCTCCTGTGTTCTTGCCATCCACTACTGTGTCCTCGTCCGCAGGCCACAGTCACACCCTGGAGGTCCTCTGCATCAAGGATGATGACAATGGACAGGGCCTCCCATCTCCTGAGGCCTCCGGCTGGCTTGATTTGGCCGGCCTAGGGTTGATGGCTGAAACCCCCCGCTCAAAGGCTCCCTCGGGGGAGGGTTCTCTTGGGCCATTGGGTACCGAGAGCCGGGCTCAAGTTTGTAGAGACCCACCACACCTCGAGCGTGAGCTCTCCAGGGCTCCCCTCTGCCACACTCTCCCCCCAGCTGGGTGCCCAGAGCCCCAGGAGCCGGGAGGCCCCCAGGGGCCGCCAGCCCACCCTGTGCGCTCAGAGGAGGCCGAGGCTGCCACGTGGGAGCATCCATGGAGTTTGGAGGTGTTCAGGCCTGGGACTCCCTGCGGAGCTGCGCCTGGCTTCCAGGAAGTCACCGAGCCAGCTGTCGCGGCCATCTTCCCAGACACCTGGAGTCTCACGAAGGAGTGTGGACAGTTCCGGAAAGAAAGGGCGAGGCCACAGCCAGGGGGGCCGGAGAGCAGCTGCCCTGGCCCAGTGGATGAGGATCACTCAGGTGGAGGGGTGCCCGTGAGGGGCAGTCCGGTAAGGCCAGCCCCCGGCCCCGACACTCCCGGGAGGCCTCCGGGCGCCCCTGAAGCTGCCACCGAGGCCGAGAGGGAACAGCCGAAGCCTCCAGCTGCCACCGCCCCGGACACACCCAGCGCCCCCGAGAGGATTTCCACCGCCCGCCAGGCAGGCGCAGGCGCACACGGCTGCGGCATGGCCCCGCAGCCCAGCGTGGCCGCTCCCGGCTGACTGCATGCAGCCTCCCGCCCGCGCATGTCTGCTTGGGCAGCAAATCCCGAGAAAGGCGCCCGGCGCCCCACGACAGCCCGCGGCAGTGGGCTCGGGGGGCCGCGGCGGCCCCAGTCTCTCAGCGAAGCCCCTCGGCTTGTTGAGGCCTTTTCCTTCGGACGAGCTGCCCGGCACCCCGGGGGGCCGTGTGCCGCGTGGTTAGGGCGCGGGCTGTGGGACTGGTGGCGCTAACTGCAAGCCATTCCTCCAGCGCTGCCACCAGCGTGACCTGGGCAGCCACCTCAGCCTCAGTTTTCTCATCTTTAAAATGGGAGTAACAACGGACCACTTCGCCACGGCTGTCCAGGGTTAAGTGAGGTAATTCTGGAAAGTGTAGCGAAGGCGACCGTGTCCTCAGCCGGGCTGCTGCTGTGGTTCGTTGCTTTTGCGCGACGTGGACTTTATGTCCCCTCCTGGCACAAAACATCGACGGATCAAAACCACTGCAAATAAGTGGGCTGTCATGTGAACGAGAAAAACCGGGATTAAGTGAATTACTGAGAGGAAAGGCTGCATTTTTCTGTTGCAAATCAAAAGGAAGAAACACAACCAAATCAAAAGAGAAAGAAAAGGCCCAAGCCCCTTCAAGAGTGTCCACTTACACCTCTCAGATACTCCTTGTAGGGAAGCCTGGAAGGGAGCCAAGGAAATACACCCATTCTAAGGGTGGGGAAACTGAGGCCAGCAGAGGATAAGTTCTTGCCCAGGGTCACTGCCGCCTTGGAGGCGGGCGCCTGGTGGAGTGCACCTGTGCTGGCTTGGCGCTTCCCTGGCGGCCTTGTTCTGCCTCCCCTCCCCGGTACCCGAATGTGGACGCTGAGCTCAGCTGAGCCCAGAGCGGGTCTGTGACCGCTTCCCCTCCCCCCTCAGATCCGTTCTGTGATCAGGAGGAGCCGGGAGACGGGCCACGCGCACCCCATGTCCCGGGAGCCCTCCCCCCGCCGCCGCCCGGACCCCGCCGCCCTGAGCAGGACCCCGTCCCAGGAGCGGCTCATCACAGAGCTGCAGGGGCGGCTGGGCATCCAGCCAGAGGCGGAGGAGGCCCAGGGGACAGTGGGGGCCTCTGCCGAGGACTGGCTGACCGAGGGCATCGTCGTCACCGTGCAGCCGCGCGGCAGGCGGGCTGGGGGGCAGCTTGTAGAGAAGGTAGCCAGGCGATGCCACGGGGGGCCGGGCCGCTCTTCCCTGGCCCCAGCGCTGGCTGGAGGGGCCCCCTAGTATCTGGTGCGCGAGGGGGTCCCACAGCCTGTGACCTTGTGAGACTGGCTCAGTCTTGGAGTCACGCTGGGAAGACGCTGGGAACCCGGGGACATCACCTCCCCATGCTCCCCGCTCCGCCAACTGCTGTTTCCTCTTTTGTCTTCACTCTCTCCCCCCTTTCTCCTCCCCAGGTTGTCTTCCCTCCTGGCTCTCCCATTCCCCAGAGAAGAACCGTCTCTGTCCTGGCTTCTCTTCCTCCTCCTGTCCCTTTGCTCCAGCATCGCAAAGACACCTCAGCCGGCAGCTCTGCTCCCCTGCCCTTCCCGCCTGCCCCCTCTGCCCCAGGGCCCCTGGCTGTCACCCATGGCTCCTCTGGGGTCCAGAGTGTGGGGGCAGAGCCCTGGGGTCCAGAGTGTGGGGGCTCCCAGGGTCCCTCCCATCTCGCCGCTGCACCCCACACCGTGAGGTCCGTGGGCTGCCAGACCGAGGAGGACCCGCGCTCTGCCCCAGTGCAGGCAGGCCCCCGGGACCCAGCGCCAGCCCTGCCCGTCTCTCCCCTGACCCCTGAGTTGTGTCCCTACCGTGCACACACGAGCAGGGGTGCACGCCCAGGCCCTCCGCCCTCTGCCTTCGAGCGCCCCGGCACACTTCCCCACAGCCCTTCCCTAGACCAGGCCTCGACTCTGGACCCTCTCAGCTCCGTGTCCACTCCCCGGGAGGTCAGCTGCCCCTTGCTTCCCTGTGGGACACTACCTGCCTGCCCCTGCCCAGTGCCCCTCCGCCTTGCTGTTCCCACACTTATGCCCCCCGCCCCCAGGCCCAGAGTCCTCGAGGCCCCCCGCTGTCTGGCCTGTCACCTCCCTGTGTCCTGTGCCGCCAGTTGGCCTCCACCCTCCCCCTCTGCCCCGGGCCTCTCTTCCGGGTTGTCCCCCCTCCCGATGCCCCCTTGGCCTCTGACGTGGGTAATACCAGTCAGGGAACTGGTCTTCATCACTCTGAATTCCCTTTCGTGAAATGGTCCAGTGACAAGGTCTCTTTATTTTTTCTTCCTGAAATTCCCAAAATATTTCTTATACCGGTTTCCTCTCCTATCTAAGCTCCAGGGCCTGGAACAAAGAGCGGCTGGGGAGCTGTGCGGGGCGGCCAGCTGGCCTCTGGACGGCAGGCAGAGCAGTCCCGAAGGGCAGGACGAGGGAGGGGTCAGTGCCGCGTGTCTTGCTTGCCGTGTTCTCCCAGGGCCTGTGGTGTCGCAGGGACCCGCAACCCCGTCTCTCTGACCCTGTAGTGCCCTGTGACCCTCCCCCCCCAACTAGGGCTCCAGAGGTCCCCAGAGAGTTGCAGTGGTTGCCTCGTGCAGCCCCCTGGTGCAGGAGGGGATGGCCCTGGCGCTGGGGTGCCGTGAGCCGCTGTGATGTCCTGACCAGCCCTCTCTCTGTCTCCATAGTTCATGAACCAGGGGAGGCCGGGGAGCAGCTCCCCACCTGGGGGACCCCCAAAGCCTGGGAGCCAGCTGGACAGTATGCTGGGGAGCCTGCAGTCTGACCTGAACAAGCTGGGGGTTGCCACCGTGGCCAAAGGGGTCTGCGGAGCCTGCAAGAAGCCCATCGCCGGGCAGGTGATGAGGGGCGGGGACTGGACAGGGCTGGAGCGGCAGGTGGGCGTGGGGAGGGCGCCCCAGGCAGGTGATGCCGAGCCACTCCCACCTCCCGCCCCAGGTCGTGACCGCCATGGGCAAGACGTGGCACCCGGAGCACTTCGTGTGCAGCCACTGCCAGGAGGAGATCGGGTCCCGGAACTTCTTTGAGCGGGACGGGCAGCCCTACTGCGAGAAGGACTATCACAACCTCTTCTCCCCGCGCTGCTGCTACTGCAACGGGCCCATCCTGGATGTGAGCTCGGGTCGTGGGGGGCGGGTGGCCCCCAAGGCGGGGGGCTGCGTCAGGCCCGGAGCCCCACAGCCAGGGGGCGGTGGGCCGGGCTCAGCGCAGCCGGCCCGCGGCCCATCCTCCCTCCCCGTCCACGAAGCCCACGCAGAGGCTGTGGGGGTGGGGCGTGGCTCCCTCGTGCACGGCAGAGAAACCGCTGCCTCTGAGCCTGCTCCTTCACCGTGAAACGCGGGCCGCAGTAGAGCCCGTGGCCCTGACCCCGTGGGGTGTGAGGCCGTCCCGCGCCGGCTCTCGGTTGCAGCCAGCGGTTGCGGTCAGAGCGGTCTCCGTGACTCAGAGACTCTGCTTCCCTCTTTCCTCGGAGGGAGCGGGCGGGAGCCTCGCCCGTGAGTGCCTCTGACCCCTGCACTCTGCGCCCACAGAAAGTGGTGACCGCCCTTGACCGGACGTGGCACCCTGAGCACTTCTTCTGCGCCCAGTGTGGGGCCTTCTTCGGCCCTGAAGGTACCGGCCACCGGCTGGCTTGCCCCAGGCCCCAGGGACAGTGGGGCGGGCCTGGAGACACCGGGGAGCGGGCTGTAACCGTGCCGCGCACCGCCTGTCCGCAGGGTTCCACGAGAAGGACGGCAAGGCCTACTGCCGCAAGGACTACTTCGACATGTTCGCGCCCAAGTGCGGCGGCTGCGCCCGGGCCATCCTGGAGAACTACATCTCGGCCCTCAACACCCTCTGGCATCCCGAGTGCTTCGTGTGCCGGGTAAGGAGCCCCCCGCCTCCCGGCCGAGGCCGGGGGTCACGCAGCGGGGAGGCTGCACGCCCTGTGCTCTGGGGCCCCTGGGTGCCTCGCTTGGGGTCATCGGTGGAACGAGCAGACTCAAGGCCGGTCGGCCCTGGGCGCGGAGGCGCGAGGGGAGGCAGGCGTGTGGTCACCTTGGGACTGGCCGTGTCTGGGGAAAGGTGTGTGGGGATGAAATGCAGGATTTAGCAGCCTCAACAGACATGGGCAGTAGTTTTCGAACCGCATTCTGGGAGAGAACGGCCCCAGATCCAGTCACCGGGGCGCCAACAGCATTCGTGACAGATGAGTCTGGGAAACGCTGCGGTGCCGCGTGTCTGCGCCGGGAGCCCGGGATGCCGCCGCCGGGCCGCAGGAGCCTTCTCCACCCCCCCCCCCCCCCGGGCTCCTGGACACTGCCCGGCCCCTGGTGGTGGCCAGAGTCAGACCTGCGTCGGGCCCCTCCTGCCCGGAGAGCGCAGTGCGCCTGGAGCCTAGCACTGGGCCCCCAGGCAACACTCCGGGCGGGGGTGGGGGGGCTGGGGGTGGGGTGGGAGTGGGCGACCCCGGGGGCCCCCCAGCCTGAGCCCCCGCCCGCCTGCCCGCAGGAGTGCTTCACGCCCTTCGTCAACGGCAGCTTCTTCGAGCACGACGGGCAGCCCTACTGCGAGGTGCACTACCACGAGCGGCGCGGCTCGCTCTGCTCCGGCTGCCAGAAGCCCATCACGGGCCGCTGCATCACCGCCATGGCCAAGAAGTTCCACCCGGAGCACTTCGTCTGTGCCTTCTGCCTCAAGCAGCTCAACAAGGGCACCTTCAAGGAGCAGAACGACAAGCCCTACTGCCAGAACTGCTTCCTCAAGCTCTTCTGCTAGGCCCCGCGCCCCGCCCCAGGCCCTGCGGCTGCTGTGGCCCAGAGGCCGCGCCCAGGGGTGAAGGGGCAGGCCTGACTGAAGCTGGGGCCTGCATCCTTGTGGTGCGGGGGGCGGGGCCGGCGAGGGGGCCTCCTGCCGCCTCCGCCCCTGCCAGGGCCTGTGTGCAGCTCTGCCCGACTCTCCGCCCTCCTGGAGGCGGGCCCTGAGTGTCCCCGTGAGCCTCCTGCCCAGGCTGCACCCCACACTGGAGCCATCTCTTACTCATACCTTGGCAGTGGAGCCCCAGGGGCGGGCAGAGAGGGTCAGACGGGCCGGTTTTCATCCTCATGCTCCCTGACCCCCTAGCCCCTGCTGTGAGCACGGAGTGGGGGGCCCTTGTGCCCCCCAGTCAGTGCCAGCATAAACCCGTCCATCTGGGGCCCCGGGCGCCACGGCCTGGGCAAGGCTCCTCTTGCCCCCCCGCCCCCGGCCCTCCCAGCCCCCAGTTCTACCGAGAAAGCCTCTCCAGCAATAATGTTTTGTGGTCACTTCCTCTGTCTTGGGGGGATGGCGTGAGGTGGGGGTTCATCCCGTGCCTGGACACTGTACCAACTTTGATAGATTTCTACACTGAGGTTTGAATTCATATTGTCTGAGTTGCTTTTACTTCTCTCTACAGTGATTTTGAAGAGATTTTAAAGATGTCCCTTTTTGTACTCTCCTCCTGTCCGCCGTCAGCGGGCCTGCTGGTGACTGCGGCCATGGCCTGGCGTTTGCCTTGTACTGAGGGCTTGGGGCAGGGAAGCAATTTGTATTGTATTTTTTCTTAGCACAAGCAGGTGAACTGGGAGCAGCTCTGTGACTCCCCTCCTTACTCCACTGCTCGCCAGGACTGTTTGTAAACTGCTGTATGTCGGAAACCCTTCCTTACTCCCCGGGCCAGCAAGCTCCTGCGGGCGGTTGGCCTAAGGGTGTTTTGCCCTCCTGGGTTTAGGATCGCAGACCTCATCCACTGTGTTCCTGAGGGAGGAGAAGGGGAGAGGACACCCCGGGGGTGCTGTTTCCTGCCCAGGAAGCCTTTAGGAGCACCCCTTTCCTTTGTGAACTTTTTGGCGACAGAGACAACCCACCGAACATTCTCAGCCTCCCCACTGCTTCTCTGGGGCTCTTTCTTCTGCTGTCTCAGGAAAGCTGGTGTCTGATTTTGATGGTTGGTTTTGCTGATTCCGCCGGGCACATCACTTCCCCAGACTTCCTGCCCTCCCAGGAGGCTGGGTACAGGTCTTTTCCCTTTTGTAGCTGAGGCTGACTTCCCAGAGGCCTGGGGAGAGGGGCCTAAGGTCTCCCAAGGGGAACTGATAGGATTTGGGGCAGAGGGATGTGATCCTGAAGAAGCAACAGGAAGCCCCCAGAACTCTCGACCCCGGGGATGAATAGGAGCAGGCAGGCCCGGGGGCTCTTGCTGGCAGAAAGGCTGACCCCATGGGGTAGAAGCTAGAAGGAGCCAGGTCACTCAGCTGGCCGCATAGTCTGCACTGGGGTCTCAGAAGAGGGCCCCTGGCTGGGAGCAGCCCAGGTCTGGGCAGGTCAGCCAGGCCCCTCTGAAGGTCTGCTGTCTCCGTCCACTTCTACCCATAGGCCTTACTGCTCTGTTTACAGTGACCTGCCCCAGGCTCCTGAGAGGGACTGGAGTCCCTGGGGTCTACTCTCTGGGTCAATGATAATTTGATGATTTGATTTTAATTTTTCTCCATAAACTTCTAACCTGGCTTTCCCCCCTTTCGATTTCTGTGATTTTTGCCAATAAAGTTTGACATTATTTTCATGGTGCTAGTGTCTTTCCTTTGTGGTCAGAGAGAAGAACTTAGTCCCTGAAGAGAGACCCTTCCCTCTCCAGACTCACAGGAGCAGCTTGAGAGGGACTTGTTGACGGGAGTCCCTTACTTGGGCAAAAAGCCTTGGTGATAGCTCCTCGAAGGTCATTTGCTGGGCTTGTCTGGTGGCCGAGGGGTTGAGTCTCAGCACTGTCGCTCCTGGGGACTGAGCTTGATCCCCACACGGCACGCAGGCTCCTGTCTCGCCGGCTCCTGTCTCGCCCACTCCTTGTCTCAGCAGTGTATCTCAGTAAGTCTGCCTGTTCTGCTCCCCACTTGGTCTCTGGTGAGTCCTCTTACCCACCCCCCTCTGTCCTGCATCCCAGCGCTTCTATGTAAAAAAAAAAAAAAACTAACTAACTAAAAAACCCCCAAAGGTCACTTGTCAGTGGTGTATGATCTCTGCTCCCTGTATAAGCTGTGTCGTGCCCCCTGCATTTGGTGAGGGAAGGCTGGGGAGCACTGATACTGCGTCCTACTCTAGCCCTCCTCTGGGTCCACTTAGGGCACCCTCCTGGGGCCTGTGGGTGGCTAACTCACCCTCATTTACAAATGGGGAAAGAGGTTCAGAGAGAAGAATCAGCAGGCACAAGGCACTCCTCCGAGTGAGTGCAGACAGGATGTGAACCCAGGACCTGCCCCGTGTGCTAGCACGGACCAGACGTGCCAACCGCCACCCTCAGGTGGCTGGGGGCACATCACCTTGGCACCTTCCAACTGAAGGTGGCCGACGGCCAGTCCCGCACCGGTCTCTACTGCCCCCTCGTGGTCCTGTTCATCTTTGCATGCGTCCCCCCTGGTCACACTACCACCCGCAGCCCCCAAGTCGGCTTCGTTCAGCCTTGAACTGTGGCTGCTGTTTCCTTGTTGGTCTTTCAAAAGCTGCACGCTGCATTGAATTCTGGTCATTTCACTGGGAGTTCGGAAGTGGAAATTACCTTCAACCTTTCCCCAAAGACAGTGCTTTTTCCATGGGTTTATTTATAGAAATGGATATGGTAGCTACTTCACTGTAACTTGTTTTCTCATACAACTGTACTTTGTATTTTCTCATGTCAATAAATATAGATCTGCATTATTTTTAATGGCTTCATGATTTTCCATTATATTGATGTACTGCAATTAGTTTTTTTTTTTAAATCATCAGAGGCAGGATGTCATTGGAAAGGTCTCATGTGAGTTTGTATATACTTGTATACTCGGAAGTGCATTTAGAGGGAGCTAGCCTCAGGGCTTGGAGGGAACCATATGGCATCGTGAGGCCCATGGGCTTGGAACCTGCTCCTAGAAGTACTTGCTGCTAGAAATCTGAAGCCATGATTTACTGAGGCAATTTATTTACCCTCTCTGCATTTTCTTATCGATAGAAATAGGACTACTGTACCTCCTCAGGGGGTTGTTGCAAAGATTAACAGTAGTAATGTGCACAGAATACTCACCATATTGCTGAGCGTGCAGCAATACCATGTCATTAAAAAAGAGATCTTAGCAGTAATCGACTCCAGCAGTTCTATGAACAGGCTGATCGTCAGAGGCATGAAGAAACAAAGCAAATTCCTAACTTAGTCAAGTGAAAAGGGTAGAGATAGGAAGAAACACCCCTTCTTTCCTAAGATCTAAGCTCACTCATTAAAAAGTATTTATTGAATGGGTGGAGGGGATGGGGCATGGACGCAGACAGGGTGTGGTCATGGATGGTTTGGTGAAGGCAATAGAAATAATATTGATAGAGTAAAATTGTTTGAATGCCACTTAAGTGAACACTTATTAAAAGAAGCTAATATTGAATGGCTTCCAGGAACAGGTAAGTCTTAACACATCTTTAATCCTCATTTAACACTCTGGTATGTGAGTAAGTGTTACGATGCTCACTTTACAGATATGGAAAGGGAAATAGGTAAAATCACTTTCCTGAGCTGAGTGAGCTGACAGATGGCACAAGGATACGTATGGCCATTTGATCACCTGCCCAGGTGGATCCAGGTCATCCGACAAACGCTATACTCATTCAAAATAGTTCTCATATGCCTGTGTAGCAGTCCAAGACAGAAATCTTGGCCATTGTGGAGTTACTTTCTTACAGAGAGAGCAAATAACAATGTAGTCATAGATCGTTAGAAGATGTGTTGCTGAAAAACTAGAACCAAATAGGGGAAAGAGTGATTTTATTTTTGTAACTGGTCGGTCAGGGTAGACCAGATGATGTTTGAGGTCAGATGAGCTACTTGAGGCCAGACTTGATGGAGGTGATTTTCTTGTGTGGCTACACTCAGAGACTTTCCAGAAGAGGAACTAGTTGGTGGGAGCAGCATCTGGCTGGAAGGGAGTCAGCAGAAAACACGGATAAGCTGTAAGGATGGCGGCAGGGCTCATATCATGTAGGGCTTGGGGGCACTTTACGTTTTAAACTTTTTACGTTGAGGGAAATGGGGAGCCTTTCAAGAACTTTGAGCAGATGAAGAAATGGTCCGATTTAAGAGTTTAAAGGATTCCTTTGGCTGGGAGGAGGAAGAACAGACTGTTGAGACAAAAGATTCATGCTATTTCTAAAACATGGGCATTTGTTTTCAAGTCACTAGTCTTCAGCGACTAGTCCAGGTGGCGGCGGGGGGTGGGGGATGTGGACTCTGAGGGCTCCCCACACGGCTCCAGACCAGCAGAGGGCAGCAGCTCTGAAAGCGCGCGTCCAGTAGGGTAGAGCGCCTTCCTTAACGCCTTTGGTTAAAGGCGCCGGCGGCTTTTGGTCGGAGTGGCAGCAATATTAGCCAATGGCTGTCTCGCTCTGCTCTCTGTCCCCGGCCAGAAGCTGCAGACGACCAATAGTCGGGGACGCTGTCCGAGGCTTCTGATTGGCTGTTCGCTCGCATATAAAATGTCCACGCGGACGTCGGGCCCTCTTCTCGCCAGGCGTCCTCGAGAGAGGTGCGTGTGCTCACGGTTTTGTGTCTGGGCTGGTGGCAGGAGCGATGGGGATTCTCTTTTCTTGGGGGCGTAGGTGTTGGGGGGTCGTGGGGCCCTGGGCTGTAGGTCCTAGGCCCTCGGCGGCGGCCCCGGCCGGGCTGGCGGGGTGCACAGACGGGGCCCGCTCTCGCGTAGGCCTCAGACTTGGGGCTGTGGTCCGGGTGCCTGAGCTACCTCTCTCTCCTCAGTGACATCGTCTTTAAACCCCGCGTGGCAATCCCTGACGCACCGCTGTGATGCCCAGGGAAGACAGGGCGACCTGGAAGTCCAACTACTTCCTTAAGATCATCGTAAGTGCGGGGTGGGTCGCAGCCCCCCCCCCCATGCAGTCTAAACGGGGACGTGCGCTGGGCGCCTTAGACGAAAGCGACTAAATAGACCTTTTCCAGGCAAATCTTAGTCCTAACGACTTCCCGAGATCTGGCCCCCCACCCCCGCCCTAGCAGATAAACAGGTTAAGTGGCTCCTAAGTGACAGCATTCGTCCCTGGCTCTGCCTGGGCACCACGCAGCCCTCTTTTTTTTTGCTCTGTCCATCCGAGCTGGGGAGGTCTGAGGCCATGAGTGACTCAGGCAATTTGTGGTCTGTTTCGGTTGTGCCAGTCGAGCTACAGGTCCAGTGAAGTTTTTGGGTGGTCTGCAGATTGGTCTGTCTTACCCTGGAACCTTGTCGCCCGAAAGGCGTTGTGGAGCTTAGTCTTATGTTTTCCCCCTTATGCTTTATGAGGATGTTTAGGTACCAGTGAAAAGCGTAAGAAAACTGCACAAGGGTCATACTTTAGGCACCACAAATAACATTTTGCTATACTTGTGTCATACGGAGCTTAAGGTGCTGAAAGTGTAGTCCTCTGGTGTGCTTATTTCAAAGCTGCTTCTGTTAATAAAGTTATATTGCTGAATTGGGAAATGTTAAAGGTGAAAATTAAGTCTTTTTGAGTGAATGTAGAAATTTACTTTGCACCATTCACACCCAGCAAACAAGCCTGGAGTGAATCCTTCATTGTTAAAACTGCTGGCTCCCAGTGGGAGGAGTCTTCTAATCTCCAGTCAACTTCACAAGCAATGATGAAATGGATGAGATGGAAACCCGAGGTTGGGGAGGGGTGCTTAGTTTCTGCATGCTTTTTCTTCCCATTAAACTTGTTCTCCCCCGCACCCTTTTTTTCCTCTTTTAAAGCAACTTTTGGATGACTATCCAAAATGTTTCATTGTGGGAGCAGACAATGTGGGCTCCAAGCAGATGCAGCAGATCCGCATGTCTCTCCGCGGAAAGGCCGTGGTGCTGATGGGCAAGAACACCATGATGCGCAAGGCCATCCGAGGACACCTGGAAAACAACCCAGCTCTGGAGAAGTCAGTAATCTCTGGGCTTCTTTGTTCTCCCTTCCCCATGCCCTTCTCCCTTTTCTTGGAGAAGGATGGTGCTGAAAGGTGACCGTCTCCTGTAACCTTCTCTTTGCAGACTCTTGCCTCATATCCGGGGGAATGTGGGCTTTGTGTTCACCAAAGAGGACCTCACTGAGATCAGGGACATGCTGCTGGCCAACAAGGTGAGGGGAGGAGCAGTTGGCTGATCTTACTGAGGTCTTAACTAACTTTACTCTCTTGAAAACAAGATTGACTGTTCTCAGGCCGTGTCTATGAAGATATTTCTCACTGTTTGTTTCTGCTCAGGTGCCAGCTGCTGCCCGTGCTGGTGCCATTGCCCCATGTGAAGTCACTGTGCCAGCCCAAAACACTGGTCTGGGGCCCGAGAAGACTTCCTTTTTCCAGGCTTTGGGCATCACCACTAAAATCTCCAGAGGCACCATTGAAATTTTGGTGAGTGGGCTTGGCTTATCTGTGCTAGCCCGGAGTGGTGGGAGCTGCTCTTGGTGACTTGACCTGCTTGATGTCCAGCTGTTAACTGCCAACATATCCTTGTTCTACAGAGTGACGTGCAGCTGATTAAGACTGGAGACAAAGTGGGAGCCAGCGAAGCCACC